CTTTATATTTTGCCACAAAAAAAGTATTTTTTTTAAATTGTACAAACAAGTACACAACAGCAAACCTTGACTGGGTACTCCGAACAGCAGCTTCTGTCCATCCCCTCCTCCAGGGGGCTTACCAAACACGGTTGCTGTGGAGGCAGGAGCGGAAGCAGGCGGAGTCAGAAAAGACTGAAACAGTGAAGCCCCAACAGAAGTAGTAGGTAAAGTAGAAAAACCAGAAGAAGGAGTAACTGATATAGGTTGAGATTGAGTTGATCCTTCGCTTGATGCAGTGGTGAGGACTGGAGGGGGCGGGGTTTCAAATTTCAACCCCGAGAGGGCCCCCTTATTGAAATCGGATTTAGGGAGCGTAAATGTAGTACTAGGACCCGAAACTGGTTGCTGACTTTGCATAAACAACGGAGCTCCAACAGTACTGGTAAGACCACTAGATAACGACACAGTACCTCCCAGTGAAAGAGAAGGAGTAGCACTAGAAGCAGTAGAGAGAGGAGAAGGAGCAGCCGTGACTAGTGACTGTCCAAAAAGAGAAGGTTTAGTAGCTGTAGGAGGTAAGAGAGAGGGAGCAGTAGGGAGAGACGAGGAGGAGAGAGGAGATGAGCCAGTAGTGACATTTGTAGATATAAAAGAAGAAACAGATACATTAGTCTGAGATGAAGTAGTAGTTGTAGATTGAGTAGTAACTCCTAATGTAACTGACTGACTAGTGTTTGTATTATTAGTAGAAACTGATTGGGACTGAGACGAAATGCCACCAAATATATTCAGGCCCCCTCCTCCTAATTTCAAACCCCCTCCAGCAGCACCAGTTAAAAGCAACCCTCCTCCAAGCTTCATTCCACCTCCATCACCAAACTGGACAGGTTTCACACTCGAGTTTAAACTGGTCTGACTGGTTTTGGCGGTTGCTCCAGGTCGTGGAGTCTCACAAGCCGGACAAGAATCTTTGCTTGGATCATTGTGGAGCATACAAGTGGGACACTCCCACTTTCCGCCAGGTTTCAAAAACCCTGTTCCACTTCCCTTGTTATCGGTACTGGTATCAGAGGATCTTTTAGCACCACAAGCAACACAAGTATCAGAATCTTTAGTATTACTGATCATACAGACTGGGCACTCCCAATTAGAAGTGGGCGGGGCTAGACTGCTGAGAGGCATGGCAGTAGGTTTAGTGTTTGAAGTAATGAGCGTGGACAGTTGTACGTTACCAGATAATCCTCCACTTGATAACTTGAAGCCACTCCCACTAGATGATGCAATACTAGTACTGGTAGATGCAGGAGGGGGTCCGGAGCTGCTAAAAATACCACTACTGGGAGCTAACATTACATTGCCCCCCTGAGGTAATTTTACTCCACCAGTCAAGTTACCTGAAGGAAGTTTCAGCGCCCCAGAAGTACTAGTTAAACTTCCCCCGGCAGGTAATTTTAACCCCCCAGAAGTACTGGTTAAACTTCCCCCGGTGGGTAATTTCAGCCCCCCAGAAGTACTGGTTAAGCTTCCCCCAGAGGGAAATTTCAACCCCCCAGAGGGAGCGTCGGTTACTGAAGGAGTAGAGAAAGCAACTGCTTTCTTTTTAATGCCCGAGGGCTGAGACGCACCACAAGCCACACACTTATTAGTATCACTTTTATTTGATACCCAACAAGAGTCACAGGACCAGTTGGACGTGGGAACAATAAGGGGGACATCCTTTAACGGCTTGAGAGAAGGAACAGAGAATCCTTTGGTCTCTCCACCCACAGGAGGAGAGGTGATAGAAGGGGGCAGGACACTCTTTTGTTTCGCTTCTTTACGGATGTTTTCAATCTGGTACTCTGGTTTCTTGAGGGCGTCTACGAGGCTCCCAACAGGTTTTGATAAAGTGGGTGGAGCTGGTGAGACGGAAGAGGGCGGAGGGAGAGATACTGGCTGAGCTTTAAATGATAGAGAACCTAAAAATGAAAAGAAAATTAAATAAAATATCACACACAACACTAACGGCTACATGTACATAGCAATGTTTCTTTGCCAGAATTAAAAACGAGCCAATTTTTGAAAAAAAAAGCAAAGGCTATAGCCTATTATTTTTTTCCAAAAAATAGTCCCAAAATCACTCCAAATTTTTAATTTAATTTCCTGATACATAATGATGTCCTTGTGCTATGTAAAAAGTAAAATAACGACATGTAAAATAGACTACCGTTACATGCAAGGCAGTAATTGACAGTCAATTGCCGTCTCCTTATAAATGAGAGAGAGAGAGAGAGAGAGAGAGAGAGAAGGGACAAATAACATAATACAGCCAAATATGGAAATGGTCAAGCCATCAACCCCGAGCAAACTACTCTTTGTATGCTCAGGAAACTCTTGTCGCTCTCCAATGGCCATGATAGTGGCAGAAAAAATGGAGGCAGAGAGAGAAAAAATAATAGAATCCGACTCTGCTGCAGGGAATTTCAAAAATGGAAAATTTGTGGCATCACAGAGCCCAGCAAGAAATGCAATAAAAGCACTAGAAGCAGAGTACGGGCGAACCAGGCTCGAAGAGTATGAGCCAAAACCATTAAAAAAGGAAGATATAGAGAAAGCAGACAAGGTAATATTCCTGGGGGCAGAGTTCCGCAAGAACGCCGAGGACGCAAAGAAGCTGTTTGGAGATGCATTGGATGGTAAAGCAATGTACTATTGTACTTACGTGAACAAGCAAGACTCCAAGGACAAAGAGAGGCATGAGGTACCCGACCCTTTAGACGGCGATAACTGGCCTGAGTATTACGGTGAGGAAAAGCCAGGGAGGGGGCAGTTCCGCAGTTACACTAAAGTATTGAAAAGCATGATAAAGGATTTCTATCCAGCACTGAGAGATGAATTATTTCAAGACAAATGAGAAACTCAAGAACTGATTAAAATTATGTACATGTTACATGTACATATACTCACTAGTGTTGTTTTAGTATGGTACAATAGTTTTAGTTTTAGTTTCTTATTTCTTTAATTTTAAGTGCTAGTTTTAGTTTTAGTTATGCAATGGCAATAATTCTAGTTTTAGTTATTGTTATCACTTCAAAATTGCATTTTAGTTTTAGTTTTAGTCATAACTTAATTCACCAACTCTTTCTGATGATGTAAAAACAACTAAACCACCAAAATTAAGAGCCAGTGAATGAACTGACCAACAGTACAGAGCTAGGTATTGGTGGTCACACCTCTTAATTATACTGCAATAGTTCCATTAGTTACTAGTGTCCAATTTTAGTTTTAGTTAATGTAACATACAATTGAAGTTTTAGTTTTAGTTATAGTTAAGTAATACTAGTTTTAGTTTTAGTTATAAGCACTGAGAAGTTTGAATTTTAGTTTTAGTTAAGGAAAATAGCTCACTAAAACAGGTTTTAGTATTAGTTATTGTTAACTAAAACAACACTAATAATCACATGCAAAAATAATTATTAGAATTAGTATAGTTTGTAGATTAGTGTGGGCTTGTATAAGTATCTTTAGTACAACAAAGATTAACAAAAATCAGTTTTAAATTGAAATACACATATACATGTACATCATATCCTACCTGATGCAGTAAGGGGTGGTCTGGTAGCCCCACTGGAGGTGGACCCCACTAGGACTGGGAGTGGATCACTGAACTGGAACAAGCTGCTGTTGATTGGAGATATAGGCGTGGCATGTTGGCGTGGCTCTGATCTCAAAGCCATCTCAGGAGAAGTGAAAGAGTAAGAACTGGCTGTCGTCATTGAAGAGAAAGGAGAACGTGTCAACTAAAAAAATTATACACAATAATGTAATTAAACAAAAATTTGCTGACACCAATGGTAATAAACTAGTGTAATAATGATAACAGTGCATTAATTACTGTATAGCAGGAAATTTTGGAGTGAATTAAATTTGGCAAATTTGGTCTCTTGATAGCCATTTGCCAAAATAAAATCCCCCATTTTGAGCCATATTACATGCTGCATGCTCAATGGCACACCGCCTCTACTAATTTGCCAAATTAAAATTTGCTAATCACCAACAATAAAGTATATATTTTTTAGCATAGAACAATAAGATTAGTCAATTAATGCACACATAACACATGTAAGTACATGCAAGTATACATGTAAGTATATACATGTACATGTAAAAGACTATAACAACTAACATTGGAAGTGGTGGTTGGAACCTTAGGCTCTTTAGTTAACGGAGTCAAGAACGGAATATCAATGGAAGGCAGTGGACCTGATTTATGTAATAGGAGTGGAATGGGAGGAGGTAGTTCGCTTGTATTATATACCTCCTCTCCCTCGCCATCTCTGCTCTTGGAGCTATAGTGTGTCGTATGTTTAGTAGCTCTTATTTTACCAGTAGAACTCTTAGAGGAGGAAGGGGGCGGAGTAGGGGGAGGGGCTTGAGTCTTTTTGACTTCTTTAGGAGAAATCGTTAGATCTATTAGGACTTTCTCTTTTCCATGAGAAGGGGGTGGGGTTGGAGGCGAGGCTACAGCATGTACGACTGGTTGTCGTACTTTCGACAATTTTGCATGTGTGGGCGGAGCAGAGAGGGAAGAGACAGGAGGGGGAGGAGAGGTAGCAGAGGAACTGGTAGAGGGACCTTCTATACGTTGCTTCTTAGCCGGCTAAGAGAAAAGAATAAAACAATAAATATTAAGAACATGTATGTACATGTGCATGTACATGTATTAATACTCTATAATGTAAAGATATAGAAATTGTTGTACAGACATTGGCTCAGATAAGGCTGAAACTATACAATAATTAAAACAACATAATATCAATAAGAGATTCAGACTCATATAATCATCATTGCCAATCAGCACAAACTGAAACTGAAAGTACATGTACATTAGCTGTAGTTCTACCATGCCTAGTTGTAATTGACCAATCAAGACTGCTTGATAAAATAACGAAAATAACATTAAAAAATGAATGTACAGTACAACCTCGATTATCCATGCAGACCTCAATTATCCGGACCTCGATTATCCGGATTCTGAAATCATGACCGGAAGTGACCATGTGGTGCTTTAAATTCACTTAATTAGAATATATGGTATTATAAAATGGCTGCTTTCAACAAGGAGTAGCTTGTTTAGCACTAGTCTCGCCACGCCCCTTCGCTACCTGCGGAGGAAGGGTCTGGAGACACTCACGGTAAAAATGTGTGCAAAGAAAACCACGTGGTTGGCTCTACATCATGTGACAGAGAAGACCAGATCAATCAAAACAGCTGAAAGAGATGCTTTGCAGCTAAAAGAAGACAAGAATAAAGCCTCTTGGACATCTCTTGCAGATTTGAGAGCAGCAGCTCTTTACAGAGCGCCATAATATTTACTTTTAATTGATGACGTTTTATTGTAAATACGTGACATTATTATGACGTCATAAGTGCCATGGCGTCGTTGTAGTAAGCAGCATAATAATGCTGCTCTTAAACTTTGAGAAAGAAGTCCAGGGAGTGTTACAGGCTCCTTCCAGCCTTTATTT